ATAATTTCATATTTGTGTTGTAATTTTTATAACCGGCCGAATATATGAATGTTTTTGTTCTTTTTGGCAAAAATATTACCTATACAGTATACATTTCTGTAATTTCTCACGTTATACATTTCTGTAATTTCTCACGTGATTGCATGCTTGTGCTGAAGTTGGTCCATTGTAGTTCTTTTTAAGAGCACTCGAACAATTATAAGTACGTGTTGTTTTACGTTGTTATTTTTTCTAATCTTTTAATGTTTGTATATACATTATATGATTCTTTAAGATAAATCAACCCTCAATATGCAGGTAAATTGTTTATCAATTTTCGTTTTACATTCATTTCGTAGGTTATGAATGTCCTATGTAAGTTTATATACTAATATGAACAATAACTTGTTTTATTCTCTCAATCTGAATGGCCAACTTTGAAACTATTATAATCATAAAAAACTACTTGTAGCGAAGCAATGTTTACTCTTATTATTTCTATAAATAAAGTTTGAATATCAAATTAGTTTTCAGCAGATCGATTGCTAGTACGTTGAAACGTTAAACATGCATAAAGCTTTAACTTTGCAACACAGAAATATGATATCTACATTGATTAACGAGTTGGCTTGTATGTTTTATCTGTAAATAGAGAAGTCCAGACATGTTTGAGTTTCATTGCTGTAAAGTATAGAACAATGACTCAAAGGACATTCAAAATGATAATAAAAACTAAACAGAAAACTACCTTAAATACAGTTGAGAGACACGACGACTTGCATATGATATTCCAACTAGAAAAACACAAATTTAATAAACATGCAAAATACATCTGAGAGTGCGTTATAAGCAAATGTCGCAAAGTAAATGTATCATAAAATTGTTTTAATATCGTTTACTCTTAATATTGATTTCAAAAACCAATCTTTTTGATTATATTGGAGTACATTTATTCATTTTTGGATAATTTTTGCAACAATATGTCGAAAAAAATCTTCGTATTTCACCATGTTATCACTGGCTGCTTTGCTCTTAAGAGGTACCTGAATGACATTTTCAATGATATCTTGCATCACTACTTATATCTAGTTATAATAATATATATAATATATAACTACTTATGACGACATTAAACTCAGGTACGTCCGTTCACTCAACAAGTATCATAAAAAGTGCTCTTATTTAGCTGTGGTGAATAATTGATAGAAAAAACATCTGTATTGCTCAGTAAGGCATTTAATATCTCTGTTTTTTTTCCCATTTGAATTGATACAAGCGTCTATTTTAAGCGTCGATTCTCTCTTGTGTGCGTTTTTTGATCACCATACAAAGTTCCATACAATGTGATATTGCGTCTCGTCTATTTCTCTATTTCAGTTCCAGATTGGAACCATAATTGAAATTACGAAAAATGCGATTTGTGGGATTTTTCAACTTTGATTCTTTTACAAGAAACTTCCACATCGGTTTTGTTCAAAAACTCAACTCTGAAAATAGCTCTGTCCTTAATAAGGTGAAAGTAGCAAATGTTTATCAGACGCTGCGTGCACGTGGCCTCTAGTAGATATGCATTCATCTACTCTGCAATGGGGAAACATTTAGTCTACCTTTGGTATATTTTTCATTTTCTAACTTCACAAAATCATTCTGTTTTCAAATTTCCTAATAAAAATAGCTTTTCTGATGCATATCATGCCACCAAGCTTTAAGGAAATACAATGAACGTTTAATTTAAGTGATTGTGCCATGTTTGAATAGCATTGTCTTTTTATTATTATCTATTTCTATTAACCCAATAAACATCGTGTCAGTAAACCAGTCTATATTTCTAATGAAGGGAACCAAAATTGAACAGGGAAGAAGGGATATGACTTAAATACGCAACGATTATTTTTGGCGCTTAGGGCGCAAAGGAAATATTATTTTGCAAAACACGCAAAACGTATGCTCATTCATGTAAATAGTTAACAAGTTATAACAACAGATTAACTTATTGAAAAAATAGATTGTTTTAATATGTATCACACATATTTGCAATAGGTTTTTTTAAAAGATTTTGTGACGATTTTTCCATTTTGCCTAGATTTCTAATTTCATTTAATGGTTTTATACCTAACTTCCAGGCAACAAACAAACATTTTAGAATTTTAGACATGACATTACTTTGTGAATCTAGGAATAAGGTTCTACTTTTTCACTAAAAGAAACTTAATAATTACACAACGAACATTTACCAAGCACATGATGAAATCAATGTGCTGAAGGCACTGCAGTTGGGACGTTCTTGAAGAATCAAAATAACCATTTTTTACTATTTCGGGGGCAGATAATTCAATGAGTGAAGAGTATTTCCAGTTGATAAATATATAGTGCACAATTTAGTAAATGAACAGTAGTTGATACAACAAGCAAATTCGTTGAATTTATATCCCCCGCCGAGTACTGGTTATTACTAACACAACAACTGAAGACATAAGGCTTTATTAATATATTTATCATGGCATAAACAGTAATATTTTTTGAACTTGATAAATATTTAGGGCAATAACAGACCCATAACTATGTGTTTAATAGTAATATCTGGAAATGCCAATGAGATGTAATCATATTGCATAACTAATCAAGGGCCATAAATCTGAGCTATACGTGTCCGGAACAAGGCGACTATATGCAAATCTCCTCTTCGTATCCCATAAAGATTCATTGAATTTCAGCCAGTAGTTACAGAGAAGTAGCACGGAAAGTTTATTGCTCTGGCTGTATACTGCATAAGTTATGGAGGGCCATAACTCTAAGTTAAAATGTCTGACCCGAACAAGGCGACGATATGAGCATCTCCTTTTGGTATTGAAGGTTCGTTCCAATAAAGTTTCATCGAATTCCAGCCAGTAGTTGCAGAGAAGTAGCGCAGAAACAAATATTTTTCTATATGCATACTGCATAAATAATCAAGGGCCATAACTCTGAGTTAAAATGTCTGACCCCAACAAGGCAATGATATGCGCATTTTATCTTGGTATTGAAGGTTCCCATAAAGTTTTGTTGAATTCCAGTCTGTAGTTGCAGAGAAATAGCGCGCAAACGATTTTTGCTCTATATGCATACTACATAACTAATCAAGGGCCATAACTCTGAGTTAAAGTGTCTGACCCAAACAAGGTGACGATATGTGCATCTCATCTTGGTATTGAAGGTTCCCATAAAGTTTCGTTGAATTCCAGCTAGTAGTTGCAGGGAAGTAGCGCGGAAATGAGTTTTGCTCTATATGCATACTGCATAACTAATCAAGGGCCATAACTCTGAGTTAAAGTGTCGGACCGGAACAAGGCGACGATATGCGCATTTCCTCTTGGTATTGAAGGTTCAAATGAAGTTTCGTTGAATTCCAGCCAGTAGTTGCAGAGAAATAGCGTTGGAACGATTTTTACTCTATATGCATACTGCATAAGTAATCAAGGGCAATAACTCTGAGTTAAAGTGTCCGACCGTAACAAGCTGACGATATTTTAACACATGACATAATGAAGGGAGACAAACCTATGAAAAACATAATCAATTGTGATATAATTATATCAAATTTTCTGTATCATTATCAGGAAAACACTCAAATGTTATGAATGTGACCATGTCATTAGAACTTATGATGGCTTTAAAGTGTTCACTGTACTTCTCATGCTAATCTCTTTCACTTATCAAATTCCTTCAATATTTTAATCCTCTCTCTGGACATTCAAAAACTAAGTAATGTAGAATTTTGGTTATTTGACACAGCACTTCTGCTCACTAGTCTCTACAACTGTATTTAGTTTGACTGAGATATCATTGAAAAGATTTACTCCAGACAACCAATATTTTAAATAATGATGCATTATAAGAGATGATAATTGTAAAATTAAGCTAGGAAAAATAATGGTTCTTTGAAAATACACTTCCTTTCACTTGAATGTTTTCGCTGTGTAAATTTTTTATTAAATTCCATCAACTTTTTTCCAGTATTTCTTTTGGCAAGCATAATTATGTAAATGTATTATAAAGGGAGATAATTAAAAAACTAAGGAATGCAGTGATGGTTCTTTGACACTTTGGCAAATTCGAGTCTGTACAACTGGATGTATTTTCAGTGGTAGTTTGGAATAAGCATTTTTAACTTAAGGGATATAATTTAAACATGAAGCAAGGTAGAGTTATGTTTCTTGAACACTGCACTTCCTCTCAAAAATCTCTATCACTTTGTGAAGTTAACATAAAATCTTTTTAATAAGTATCTAGATATATTCATATTCAGGATAAGAGTGTGAAGGTCGAATGTCTATCTAAGTTCACAATGTGGGTTTTCTTTTTCTTTAATCATCTGAAATCTCAAAAACACCATAAGAAACATAATTTCCTCCCATGACTTCCCCACAAGTACAAGTTCCCCACAAGTACAAGTATGTATAGAATGAACATGGATATTCATCCATGACATCAATTGAGTCCATACAGACAGATGGTTAAGACCGCAACTGTTTTCTCTCCCTTTTGGAGAGCATAAACTATAATAACATGCTAAATCTGAGTATGGTTCTATATCAGATACCAATACGATGAACCTTGCTTTTGTACCTTTTGAGTAATATCAAAATTCAGATTTCATTGACATGCAGAAAGGGGTCAGCCTTAAGTCCCCTCTCGGTGATAACAGAAGGGGACTAATAACAACAATTTATTCTAGTTTTAATTCTCAGGTTTGTTACTTTTCATTAAACCAGGCAAGCTTAGATATATGTTATAACTTATGAAGTATTCTAGCTCTGAATGTATTTACACATCATTGCTAAACATTGCACACTATTTTAATAAATTTTGGAATGTGCAGTCATATGTTACACAAGTCCCAGGAGCTTCAATTCATGGAAACATTTGGGGAAAACAGTCAAAATATCACATTTTTTGAAGCCAAAACAACTAGATTAAACATTTTCCTTCAACACAATGTTCATGACTGGCCCTTTACTATTGACAGGGGATTCAACTGAAGTGCTAACTCAGACTACCCCTCTAAATTAGTGCAACTAGTCCCAAGTGTTCATATTGGTGCCTATACAATTATGATCACTACATCTGGAAACTGGAGATTCCCACAGACAGTGGTGCTAATCTTCATTTGCTTGACAGTGACACATGTCCACCTTAAAAAATGCAATAACAATTATATGAAGTGCAATAATTTGCAAAAAATGCTTATCTTATTTATCTCTTCTTACATTTATAATGCAGAGCACTAGATTTATGTGTCTGTCATACAAAATGACTTTCAATAACACTATATAAATAAAATTTGAAATACAATTTCTTTAATAAATACTCATATAGTAATACTGAATTCCTTTTCGTGATATTTTTCTGTCACATATGTTCAGACAGTATACAATTAATTTGTTTAGACGGCATTCAATATAAAGGTATAATTATTTATTGGCTACAAAAAATGTAAATTATGGTTAGTTTAATAACCAATATGAATGTTTAAAAGATAATCTCTTCAAACTTTAATAATAGCCTGTCAATTAAGCATATCTTAGAAATAAGGCACACTAAGCAGAAAAAATGGTCAATCAAAGGATAGGGAACATTTTTATACATATTTAAATCATTTGGTGAGGAAACAATCACTTCACAGCTGTGCTTTGCTATTGAATATTTTCATTTGTTTCAATCTTGAATAATCAAAATGTAAACAATGTTCATAAGGATGAACTGTATTGTAAATTTTGCATACATATTGAGGTCTTGTTCAAGGCAACAGTATTGTAAATTTTGCAGTTCCTTGTAATGCCCTGAAGGATTGATTTGTACTACCTTAAAACACCATACTATGATATTTCATGTAAGTGATCATTTTCAGCATAGGAAAAAGACTGTCATAGGCAGTATCTTAATGTTCTTCACTTAACTAACACTATAATAAACTGTGAGCATGCACTGACACTCTTTTATTTTAGGCGGTACTATATATGAACAAGTCTTGGACTATTTCAGTATGTAGATTAGAAATGCAAACTAAACAATTTCAGTTTCAAGCCTTTTCCAGGTTTTCCTAGACATTTTGGGAAAAATTTCCTAGCACAGGTTAGGAAATTTTGCATCTTAATTGGGAAAAATATTCAGTACCATGTACAAAGTTGTTAATCCAACAAATTGTATATCATTCAAAGCATAAAAATGACATAAAAAATGACAATGAAATGTGTTTTTGAACATCATCTGTCTGGTACCATATTGGATTGAAATGGAATGAAGAAAAATTGTCAACTTTGATAACAGGAATTTTGACTCGATTATGTTTTTTTCTAAACTTGGAAAAAATAAGCATATTTGGCATTATTTGCCACTGGGAATGGGTCTGGTAATCTGGCCTGTGGTGACACTGGTAAAAAGGCATATATTTTCATGAATACTTTTTGGAAAACAGTTTGATTTGTGAAATATACATCAAATATTATACAAGTACCTGTTGTTTGTGATCATCTTCTTGTCTTTCTTTAATCTTATACTTTTTTCTAGCTACATGTACCAGCCTTTCCAAGTGAATATTGGAGTAAATGATCTTTTATTTCCCTGAAAATATCAATTTAGAGATTTCATCTTCAAAATTATCTAATACTACTCTCTTAGTGTGTGTATATACAATGTATATATGTGTATATACAATGTATATATATAATTACAATGTATATATATATATATATATATATATATATATATATATATATATATATATATATATATATATATATATATATATATATATATATATATATATATATATATATATATGTACATGAAAATTTATGATGATAATATTTCTTCGTATTACTCCGCAATATTACCACTAAAATAGAAAATGTTCTTATCATTTTATTATGATATTTATTACATGTAGATATGTGAATAAAATGTGAATATCAGTATTATCAAAAATTGTTAAATGTCTAATTAACACTGATTAAATCACTTCACCCATGTAGTGAGAACAGGTATAGATCATTTCCAACAGCCTTGCTGTTGTGTTGACATTTTCGCAACATGGTTGTGTGTTTGCCTTGTAATCAAGAGGTCTGGGGTTCAAATCCCTTTCAGTGCCTGAAGATTTTTCAGGTTAACAATTATCATGGTGGCAGTGATTTTTTTTCAATTTTCAAAACAACCTGTGGCTTTCTGAAGGGGAAAATATAGCTTGATAAATCAGAAAAGGGGAAAATCAAATTCCAACCACTGAGAATGGAATTTACCCATACATTTAAAAAAATCATTTCTAATTCAATTTAAAGGGATTCCACTGAGGTATTTTGACATGATGGGACTGAAAATATTTTTTTCAGATAAATGTACCATTTGATGTAAGTTTAGACCATTAATCTTTGTGCAAACTTTCAGATCATTCACGCACTTCGTTTTTCCAGAACAATTATTCAAATTGTAAAAAAATGATGCAAAATGAAAAGCTTACTCAAATCCGACTAAAAAAGGCATAAAAAATTATTTCAAAGTATAATTTTGAACTATCTTCGCATATATTTCTGTTTAAAGATATGTAAAAATCAATTGTTATGTTTTTAGGCTTTTAAAGCTCAGTGGAGTTCCTTTAACATCCATGGTAATAGCAGAGGCTATCTATAGGGACAGCTTTCTGTCTTCTAGCTGATGTTTAGTCATCCTTCTGGTGAAGAATGTGCACAGGGGTTTTAGGGGAAAATATTAGCATTTTCAAGGAAAAATATACCTATTTTGGGTACTGGTTAAACAGCCTTTTAAAGAAGGAGAAATCACTAGGTGGTAATGGTCAGATAAAAAATGACAATAATGTGGGTATGAAGTATCGATTAGCAACCAATAAGAGTTAAGTCAGAAATAACAGGACAGTGCCTCTACCTCTAATATTGTCTCAATTACACAAGACCTGCAGTATTTGCAGGGGCTAAACATTACAGCTTAAAGGCTCATATTGATTGTTAAATCATTTTTTTCTAATCTTTTTTTTTAATCATTGATGCCAACACTATAAAGTGTTGAGAATTGAGTACCGCTCAAGCCGGTGCTAGGGGGCGTGAGTGATGTTGCACTTATTCATTATCACTCATGTACAGACTCAATCAAACCGAGTCTGCAATTCTTATGTTATTTTGTTGTGATTAATGCTTCCGAGGGATCACTTTGTTTCCAGAATTTTGTACTTCACAACAGCAGGTGTCAAGTGCCGTGTGGCAGCCGTAAAAAGTTGCCCCGTACTTCACTTCAGTGTTGTTATATTTTCTGGTCCTTCGGGATCATTGATGCCAACACTATAAAGTGTTGAGAATTGAGTACCGCTCAAGCCGGTGCTAGGGGGCGTGAGTGATGTTGCACTTATTCATTATCACTCATGTACAGACTCAATCAAACCGAGTCTGCAATTCTTATGTTATTTTGTTGTGATTAATGCTTCCGAGGGATCACTTTGTTTCCAGAATTTCATAGAATCCCTTTATTCATTGAATATTATTATTATATTATTTATAACCTATAAATGAATTTATAAACATGAAAGATAAAATAAAATTATTTTGAAATATTTAAGAATGTGCCCCATTTGGTAGCGACGTTACCGGCGTGACAAGACCAACAAATTGTAGGCGTATATGCCAGTTTTCCCTGTGAAGGCAGACATCTGTGTTAAATCAATTTGTAAAATCTGTCGGTTATGCAGTCTAAAAATTGAGACTAGGCTACAGTAGGGTCGAAATGTCTTAGGAACGAAAGACTCGAGATCTCCCAAATTACTTCGAAATTATTAACGAAAGTTTTAGTCCTCGGAACGAAATGACATCAATAAATAAACTTACTATTATTATTCATCATATTCATAACATATTTTGCTTTAAACTTACCTTTGTCGATAGCTTGTCAAGTAGGTCATAAAGTAAACCGGAAGTTTTCGGATTCATTCATAGAATTACTATGATTCCATTCATAGAATAATTTGACCTTTCAAATTATATCTGCTACATTTCTTATACCGTAATTCAAGCTCAATTGCACATGTCTTATATCTCTTCTATTCGCAATAAATCAAAGTTTTCAGAAATACAGAGCACTATTTTTCACGCGCGGCGGTTATGCGTCAGTCATGGTCGGATGAATACATTGAATTCAACTTACCTTAAAAATGTTAGAATACAATATAGCATATATAGTGGTGATGAAAAGTCACTGCAGTGGGCGTTACCCTGTATGGTTGGAAATTTCGGGTTTATAAGTACACTAGTTGGGACTACATCCCAACTAAAAAATGATAAGTTCTGAGGATATTCAACTGTAATAGAGAACAATTGTCACGACTGATGTTGTACAATACCTGTGTTAAGTCACATCATTTGGCGGCGTCTTTGATGTGCATCATCAACATTAAACTTGTTAACATTTGCACTGCCGATTTCATTCAACCTATGCTTTTAACTTTTACAAAAAAAAATAAATCTGTAAACTACAAATGAAGACTTTAAAAACAAATCACCCCTTATATGCATTTTTGCTATAACTAAAAACCCTACTTGCACTGTAGGCAGACGATATTTTCAGCTTTTACTGAAAATCGTTTTCTGCTATTTATAAACTGATTTTCATTCTGAAATTTGAAGATCAATGTCCATATGTAAAAAACATAAACTAGTTTCTAAGTCAAAGGGCAATAAACAGTATTTCACTCTTAAAGAAACTAACAAATTGAACATATATCATGTTTTATAGCATGGGGCGTTGAGCAATTTTCTCGAGTCGTTATCCAAACTGAAAAAGATTTTGATTCTTCGTTAACTATGTTAAATAGTTAAGTTCTCTTACTGATATATTGACTGTACTTGTAGTGTGAGTTCTTTGTCATTTTCACTTTCACATTTTGGGTTATTTAAAGCAAGTCCTTTTGATTGTACCAAGAGGCCCTTACCCATCTCCTAAAGTCTAAAAATACTTGGCTGAGGCTTTTGAAATATGATTTATATAATATTCAAAAATAAGTCAGTGCTAACTCCATATTTGTTTTTCCTGTATGTGCATTCACATGCTGTTTCATTCATTATATGTTTTTTTGTAACTGCCTATCGAGAATAACAATATCTTTACATTTTTAAATGCATCCAGAAGCAGACATATTATTGCTTCATTTAATAATCTAGTGACGAGCCGAATTCTTTGTCTAAAATTTCTCAATTATTCATCATGCTCCCGCTGTACCATTAGAGTCGTGATCGGCAAATAAGATATCAAAAATTTAAATGTAACTGAACTTCGAAAAAAATCTCTACTTTAAATAACATGTGATAGTTTTTAATCAAAAACCATACCACAAATTAATCAGTTTATTAAGGTGTCCTGTTATTATGGTTATCTTGAAATAGTTAGTATCTTTTAAAAAAAATCTGGTAAATATCTGTTGCTTGGAAAAATAAAACAAACAACTAGCTTAAGAAAATTAAAGAATGACGCTTAAGTTTAGTTTTTTCGTTACCATTATTATCACATAAATGACATTAATAAAAACTCTGGTTCACTTTTAATTTCCATTCATTTTTTCTGATAAGTTACATGTACACTGATGTAATACATACATTTGTATACATATAACACTGAAAGCAAAATTACCAAAAGTCAATTTGATAACGAAAAAGTTTATGTAATTATGTTCTTTATTACTTACTGCTGCAACCTCTTTCTAAACAAGATATGAAATGTTTAAAACATATTCTTTTTCTCTATTATTAGACGTGGTTATAACAGAGAATTGACAAAGTAAGAAGACATGGCAACCGGTGGTTCGACACAGACTTCAGACAACCGAGTCTACCTATTCCGGTTGCAAATACTCATAATAGACGGAGGCCTCCTGGTTTTGAGAAACTTTCTTAACCAGTCACTGAGTGCACAAGGCTTAACTCTAAGTGTATGTTTGAATCAAGAAAAGGCAACAATTACGCGTTTGAAAAGCCGCGGTGTTATTACACAGGTACAATATGACCAATTGTTTCCAACGGTTGGTCAAGTTACAACTACGTCGGATATGGACATCACGCTTATCATTTGTCTTCTTAGATGCCTAAAGTGTGCTGGATTGAAAAAGAAATTTGACTGGAGCGCAACACCTATGTCAACAGATGTAACAGTTGAGGCAGATATATGTCGGTTAAAAGCTTTTCGAAATAAAGTAAGTAAACAATGTCGGATTCCTTTAAGAATTACTAACACTGAATTTCGTTATTGAATATAATGTGTACCAGTGAATTGTTGAACTACATAAAATGACGACAAACATAGCCACATCGTAATCCCGGCACCAGTGATGACAGATTATTGCAATGTTGGCAGAAAGCTAATATTTTCATATTACGAAAGGTAGATTATAAATTTGGTTGGTACATTTATAATACACACACAAGAATATCCTTTGCAATAGATTAGCTTTTCATTTTCGCATTATAAACCTCCCTATCTAGAGAAAGCATAACAAATAATGATAACATCTCAATTGATGAACGAAATACCCAAAGAATATAAAAATCAATGGCAGAATCATCACGACTTACTGTCAGAATGTTAGCCACTTTCAGAGCCTTTCTAACGTCATCGACAGCCTTGACATGTGTGTATACAACGGTAGCAATATTAATTCATCGACCTGTCTAGTTTGAACTCCTGTACCATTATTAAAAAGAGGAAAAGAATTTGAATTTGCGACCGTATGTGTTTAATGATGATGTATATTGCACGAAATCCCTTCATTTATTCCAAACGTTAGATATTTAAAAAGTAAAGAACAATAATTGTCACGGACTTATCCGAGGCTATCTTTTTTAACCCACCCAAAAATATATTTTATGACATGGGGAAACAAGTAAGAAATTACCTAATTACTTTATCTCCAACGGATTCTTAGTCAATAGCTATTAAATTGCCTTGTTCGCGTTATATAATTATATATCAACATAATAACCAACCTGTAGTTATCATTAAAGTTGAGATTTATGCCATCACTTGAGCAAGTTGTCATCATTTGCGCCCGTTATAGGTAATGCCTATACGCTCACGGATTTCACTGAATATAGCTTCCCGTTAGCTTTGTACTACAGTAAGCTAACTTCCTCAGGATCCTCAAAATGCTGCATTACCACTTATATGTCTCATTTTCTTCAGATGACCATTATAATAATACACACACAAAAATATCCTTTGCAATAGATTAGCTTTTCATTTTCGCATTATAAACCTCCCTATCTAGAGAAAGCATAACAAATAATGATAACATCTCAATTGATGAACGAAATACCCAAAGAATATAAAAATCAATGGCAGAATCATCACGACTTACTGTCAGAATGTTAGCCACTTTCAGAGCCTTTCTAACGTCATTGACAGCCTTGACATGTCTGTATACAACGGTAGCAATATTAATTCATCGACCTGTCTAGTTTGAACTCCTGTTCCATTATTAAAAAGAGGAAAAAAATTTGAATTTGCGACCGTATGTGTTTAATGATGATGTATATTGCACGAAATCCCTTCATTTATTCCAAACGTTAGATATTTAAAAAATAAAGAACAATAATTGTCACGGACTTATCCGAGGCTATCTTTTTTAACCCACCCAAAAATATATTTTATGACATGGGGAAACAAGTAAGAAATTACCTAATTACTTTATCTCCAACGGATTCTTAGTCAATAGCTATTAAATTGCCCTTGTTCGTGTTATATGAATATATCAACATAATAACCCACTTGTAGTTATCATTAAAGTTGAGATTTATGCCATCACTTGAGCAAGTTGTCATCATTTGCGCCCGTTATAGGTAATGCCTATACGCTCACGGATTTCACTGAATATAGCTTCCCGTTAGCTTTGTACTACAGTACCTCAGGATCCTCAAAATGCTGCATGACCACTTATATGTCTCATTTTCTTCAGGTGACCATTATGGTGATCGTCATAATATTTTCGTACAGGTGATTATGACTTTGTCTAACCCGACATTTTAGACTACGTCTACGACTAAGACTTAGAATACGACTATGACTACCAAAACGTCCTCGGCTTTTACGACAACAAAGTCGTCTCGGACCTAGACAACTTTGTCCTTGATAACAGCTTCTACAACTTTATTGACTACGATAACACACTACAACAACGACTTTTTCAATTCTAACCTTACACTTTCTATTTATACAAATACAGCTATGACTTTTATTACTATTCTATATCTGAGACTACGAATTATTTCGAAGTCGACGGACCCGTCAAGAAATATGTCGAGATGTCTTTACACCATGCATGTACATACATATTGTCTACGTCATATAATCTCAGTATGACGTATTTTTGTTTTGTTTTCTTCATGCTATTCGAGTAATTAACTGTGTAGAAATCTTTACTTGAATCTTTTTAAGGAACGGATTAATACCAGGGGATAAAGGACTGTTAAGTCAATGTGCTTAATAAATACACAGTGTACGAATAACTCGGTAATAAACCACTAAAATAATAGGTTTGACTACATTCTGCAAGTAGGAATTCATGTACAGCTATAAACTTTGTCAACTAATCAATACTGATCATCAGAGGATGTATACCTATTAATCCAACAGAAACAAAAAACGCATAAACTAAATAAGTCATAGGTTGTATGCATTCACATTACAATCAACGTGTGTTTGTGTAAATAAGTCCTTTTGTAAATTTTATTGTATTTTTTCCGTAAACTATATGTTGTACCCCTATAAATAATGAATAACATTTATATAACATGCATTGAAAAAGTGCGCACGAAACGGTTTATTTTTAAAATTATTTTCTTAGGCTAATTTTTTTATAGGGGTAATTGTTGTCGGCGGCGTCGTTGTCGGCGTTCCCTAAAGCTTGTCCGGAGCATACCTCAGAATTGACTCCAAACTTGGTGTGAATGCTTCCTTTAATAACCCAAAGTGCAGTGCACAAGGACCGGAACTCTTAACGACTTATTTTTTGAGTAATTGCCCTTTGTTATTTTTAATTTTATCCGGGTCATTTCTCATAAACTAACAAAGCTTTTGACTTGAAACTTCACAGGATGATAAATCTCATTTAGAAAAAGAGCAGTGCATAAGAACCGGTACTCTTTAATTCTTATTTGTTGAGTTATTGCCCTTTGTTTCATATTTTATTTTTGTCTGGGCCATATCTCATAAACTATAAAAGCTATGGACTTGAAACTTCACAGGATGATAGGTATTATTATGAAAAAGTGCAGTGCATAGGAAATGGCACACTGCACTTATTTTTTTAAGTTATTGCCCTTTCTTAATTTTCATACTTTTTGTCCGGTTCATTTCTCCTAAACAATAAAAGATATTTACTTGAAACTTCATAGGATGACAGATCTCATTAAGAAAAGGTGTCGTGCACAAAAACTGGTACACTTAACTTTTTATCTTATATGTTATTGCCCTTTGTTTATTTTCATACTTTATTTTGTCCGGTCCATTTCTCCTAAACTATAAATGCACTTCATTTGACGATAGAGCTTATTAAGATAAAGTGAAGTGCGCAAAAACTGGTTCTCCATGATTTTTGTGTTATTGCCCCTTGTTGATGTTCTTACTTTTTTTTAACCAGCCTAGTTCACCTTAACTATAAAAGTTATGGACTTGAATCTTCATAGGATGATAGCTAGATCTCATTCAGAAGAAGTGCAGTGCACAAGAGTTATGGTACCCTGCACTTCATATCTTTTGAGTTATTGGCCTTTAGCGGTGTTTATAAATAACATATATTTTAGAAGAAAATGCCTAAGTGACAACTGTACTGTTCACAGGGCGACACATCCGACTCGTGGAGTTCTAGTCTTGTTATTAAATTTCTTTGCTCTAATTATATATTTCCATGCTTCGACATGAAACTATCAAAACATTCAAAATACTATGTTAACTAAATTACTGGTAATTCGATTTCTTTATTACAGATTAGCCATATATCAGAAACAACTGTTATACAGCCAATTGACTTTGTAACTTGGTGGAATGACATCGAACAGGTGAGCAGAATTTTATATTCGATATGTCACATCAACTGAAAACTGTCACGGACAATATGTCTGTTTATATTATAACTATGTTTTCATTTTAACTACAGTTATATTTAAAACTCTTGAGAAAGTTTGATCCCTCAAAAGCACTTTTTCACAAAAAGACATGAAAATAACAGGCTCGGTTTGATTGAGTCTGTAAATGAAGGATAATGAAGAAGTATAACATCCCTCACGCCCCCTAGCACTGGCATGAACAGACTCAATCAAACCGAGCCTGCAACATTTTCAATTTTGCCGTGTTGGGCTTTCTTTAGGGATTCTGTATTTATCTATTTTTTGAGCGGTACTCAATTTACAACACTTAAAAGATTTCTACATCATTTGATCAGTAGGCCCTTTATAAGCGCGAATATTTGAAACATGCATGATAAAAGGGGATCATGATTAAAATTATTGAAAGAAATTGATGGAAAAAGGTGGTCACTTCTCAACAATTTTCTGTTATCCGACCATGAAAAAGATTGTTTCATTTTATGACATTTTCAAGAAATGGTAAAAAAAACTTTTGAAGTGTATATTTACAACATGTTTATCAAATGTTTATTTTCTTCTTTTATATCCATTTGTTAACAACACGGCGCTAACAATAAAAACACAGAAAGTAACTTAGTCAGTTTGATAAGGCATATGTTGTGTTGCTGAAAATAAATTATGGTTATCTATTTTCTTTTTAATATGTAATTTTCTTTAATAGTTTGCTCATGTGTAGTGATAAAGATGATTCTCTAATGGAGAAAAAAATTATCGTCAATATGACGCTACCATTTGAATACAAAGGGGAAAAACTCAAATAAAATGATCCTTTTTATTTCAAACTAAGTATTTATTTACACTTAGAAAAAAAGTTTCTTAATTTTACACAAGTTTACAATGAACTTGAATATAAATTGTTCTTATTTAACAAAAAATCTTATCTAGTGAATAAAATTAATCAATTAAAACCAGTTGAAAGTGAATAATAGCAAGCCCTGTTTTAATTTATATATTAAACTGAAATAGAGATATTATAATTCAAGATGGCTGCGACTAAGAACAAAGTAAAATATTAATTAATCTTAATTACTTCTGTAAGAAGAAATTACTAAAATTACTAACAATTTTATCAAGAAGTGTTTCAGTGAATTTACGTATATACATTATAAGTTTACTAAAAGCTAAAGTGCCTAAAATAAATTTAATTACTGATTTATGAACCTTTTAGAGATTAAAGAGATGTTACTTCTTCAAAAATTAGCAGCAGGATGACAAAGCTCTTTGAGATGTCTTGTTAAATCTGAATCTCAGAAGAAGATAGCATCTACATACTCGTGGCACTGTATGCAACAACTTTTTTATTTGTCTGCAAACCAGAATTTACTATACAAATGTTTTAAGCTTGACATTTCTTTACATAACTATTCTAAAATAGATTATGATTCATTGCAGACTTGCAGCTACAACATTAACAATTATTACAAAAATATATTAAGTTTTACAAAATGAAAATAGCAATAAACTTTAAACTAATATCAAACTAAACATATTTATTAAAATGAAAATGCCTAAGACAAGAATATTAAGTACATGTAAGATTCTAAGTTTTTAGGCAAGACAAAGTGAAACTTTTTTGTATAGGCCCGTCTAAATGAATTTAACACATTTGCCATTAATAAATTAAATCTACTTTAGTAAATGGATACAGTTAAAGCCCTTATTTCTTTGTACACAATCAAGTTAATGAATTGTATGTTTTTTAAAAAAACAAATCCTTTTTTTAATCAGTGTTATACAAACTTGAGGAATTCTGTAAATATTATGTAATGTTGCATACCAATTATGTCAAATGTTGTAAGTGAAAAACAACTTTACAACACTTATATAAATAAATCGAAATTGATATTTTCTTTTTCTTGATTCCCTTCTTAGATACTTGTTCGACTAAGTTCTCCAGGTCTGAATGTTCAGCAAATAATAGACGCTTTCAAAGTTTGCACCCTAGATTCAGAGGAAGAGAAAAGGGTACAAGAAGAACTAAAAATATGGAAGGACTATGAAGCCGAAGTTGATCGACTGAAAGAAGAAGTGACTGATATAAACGTAAGGGTTACTGAAGTGGAGAAAACCCAAGAGGAAATAAAAAGTCGTCAACTCGACGAAGGTATGCTATTTTATACTTTTTGCTCGTAATTATCATATGTTGAATAAATAAAAGAAAAACAAAAAGAACGTGTTTCAATATATGACAGACTGATGTAGTAAAATAAATTATTATTCTTTTCAAAATAGAGAGATGTGAAATTGCGTCCATGAATTAATGGGGATAATAGAAAGTCACACACTAAACCTGTCTACGTCTTTATATTAGTTTTTTAGCAATGCGGGATAATACAGTTTTGAATGTTAATGAAGTTGGCAGCGTAGCAGCCTAGCTGCCTGCTGTTGGTAGCCTAAAGAAAACTAAGAAAAGTACAAACATATAAACAGTCAGAAATGAATAAGTAGTACTTCCTTAGATCATTCCACTCTTTTTAAATATCGTCATCTTGATTTTTATGGATGTTAAACTTCATTATTTTTGTTATATTCTGACGCTTTGAAATTTGTGAAATGAGCAGCCAATCAGTCCGGCAGATTAGAGAAAACTAAAGTTACCAACTAGACTATATCATGCCTGTTTTCAATATCATGGTATTTTTTAAGATGTTGAACTTTTTTCTTATATCGTGATCTTTATTTTTTAAGATATTTAACTTTACTTTTTTCTTTCAAACGCATTAGTAGCACTTACTAAGATCAATGGGTAGAATGGTTCAACATCTTTAAAAAAATATCATGATATTGAAAATGGCGTCTAAGTCTAAGTAAGTGCTACCGATTCATTTCCGACGGATCTCATGTTTGTACTATCCATTGTTTTCATAAGGCTGCTAGGCTGCTAGGCTGTTAGGGTGCTAACTTTCGCAGATCCGATAGAAGTAAAACAAATAAAAACTTAGAAGTTCAACATCTTAAATAAATATCACGATATTGAAAAAAAAACACATTGAATGAACTTCGAATATTTCGAAACATCAGAATGAAAAAAAAGTGAAGTTCAATATCTTAAAAAATAAAGATCACAATAATAAAAAAGCGTGGAATGCTATAAGTAAATGCAATAAATGTATTTCCGACGAGTTCATGTTTGTACTATCTTTAGTTTTCTTAAGACTGCCAGGCTGCTAGGATGCTAACATCACACAAATTTCAAAGCGTCAGAATGAAAGAATAATAATAATATTCAACATTTTTAAAAATGAAGGTAACGATATTCAAAAAGGCATGAAATGACCTAAGGAAGCGCTATTTAATAATTTCCACCATTTATATGTTTGTACTATTCTTAGTTTTCTTTCGGCTGCTAAGCTGCTTTGCTGCCAACTTAAGGCTGTTAGGCTGCCAACCTCACGAACATCTGTTTTGATAGCGCCTGGTTTGATTACGCATTAAATTTACCTAACATATAATCGATGGTTAATGGCGTATACAACAGAATGATGCACTTCTATCTATAACAAGAAATAAGTAAAACAAAATATGGATGAACTCTTATATTAAGAAATGTCAGAAAATATTGATGCTCTTCATATTAAGCAAGACGTAAAATTTAGTATTGTTTCACTTCTATATCAAGTAAGAAAGGCAAATTAATAGTTAAATGCACGTATATGTCAATCAAAAGAAGTGTATGTAAATATTGATATACATTTTATATCAAGCAAGAAGTGTAAGTAAATATTATGTATTTTTGTATAAAGCAAGAAATGTAGTAAACATTATGAAATTCTTTATCAGGCAAGAAGTGTAAGTAAATATTATGTATTTTTGTATAAAGCAAGAAATTTAGTAAACATTATGAAATTCTTTATCAGGCAAGAAGTGTAAGTAAATATTATGAAATTCTATATCAAGAAAGAAGTGTAAGTAAATACTGATATATTTTGATATAAAAAGTGTAAGTAAATATTGGTGAACTTCTTTATCAGGCAAGTAGTGTAATTAAATATTGATCAGTTCTATATAAAGGAAGAAGTGTAAGTAAATATTTGTGCACTTCTTTACCAAGCAAGAAATGTAAGTTAATATTGGCTATTTGTATATCAAGCCAAAAGGGTAAGTACATGTTGCTCTACTTCTATAAAGGTAAATATTGATGCACTTCTATATCTAGAAAAAAGTTAAAGTATATATAAACGCATTTCTTATATCACTCTTATATCAAGCAAGAAGTATAAGTTAATATTGATGTACTTCTATATTAAGAAAAAAATGTAATTAAATATTGATGCACTTCTTTCTCAAGCATGAATGTTAAGTGAGTATAGTACACTTCTATACCAAGCAAGAACTGATAGTAGATATTTATGCACTTTTATATTAAGCAAGAAATGTATACGTAATTAAACTTTGATTCACGTTTATACAACGAAAGAATTGTAAGTAAATATTGGGGCATTTCTTCATCAAGCAAAAAATGAATGTACATATGAAACACGTCTTGTCAAGCCAGAAATGTATGTAAATATTAATGCATATTTATATAAAGAAAGACGTGTCAGAAAGCAGCGTAAGTAAATATAAGAGTTTTTTCTATATCAAGCAAGAAGGGTAAGTAGATATTGATGCACTTCTATATCAAACAATAAAGGTAGGTAAATTTGTCCTCATTTCTTTATCAAGCAACAAATAACGTAAATGTTAATTCACGTCTATATCAAGCAAGACGTGTAAATAAATTGTGCTGTACTTCTATATCAAGCAAGTGGGGTAAGTAAATATCGATGTACTTCTATACCAAGCAAAAAGTGTAAATAAATATTGATGCATTTCTATATTAAACAGAAAGTGTAGGTCAATTTTGATACACTTTTTTATAAAATAAATTAAGTGTAAGTAAATATTGATGCACCTGAATATCATGCAAGAAGTGAAATTAAATATATTTGGGCTTTTGTGTTAAGCGAGAAGTGTAAGTTGTTATCAGGCAAAAAGGGTCAGTCAAAACCCGCTTTCGATGTTTTCAAAAGAAGATTACATTCCCTATCACAAATATTCTCAACACTTTTCGTTTTACAAAAAACGACCTTTTTCAGTCCAGTCCAGAAATGCAAGTCATGAATATATTATGCTGCATGCATATAGTTTTTAAGCAATGAGGATATCTTGCATTAAGGTTTTACCAGACAACTTAGTTTTTCGCAATATTACCTCAACTCTCGTGATGAAATACATTACAATCAAGTTCAATAAATATAGTTACATTGTAATGTATTGACTATTGAATGATTAAACAAAGTAAGTAATAAATATATTCTTGTATAAAAGTGAGAAGGCAAACAATTTTAAAAAGTGAATCGGATTTCAAAAACGTTATAAATAAAAGTTGACATAGTTGTCGATTGACATTAATTCGATACATTTAGGTATTTTTTCAAGAAGTACTCTGGTAAATACTCAGCTTTTATATTTTTTCTTTGTATAAAGTACATTCTAGTAGAAAATGAGTTTGTTACATATTCATATGTAACCTTTTGTTTCCTGGAATTTCATTTGGTTTATGTCATCTCTATGTTTCGATTAGTCACATATGTGCCAAAACTCTTAACCTTGTAAATGCTTTTCTAATTTCAAATATGAATTTGTTCAACATACAATTAAAAATTAAAGTCTGAAGAAAATGTAAAGGGGACGCTCTTCATGATAAATTGCGAAGAGATTTTGCATATATTTATCTCTTATTCTCTGTTTTACTTAGTCAAAATTTCAAAATTTATTTCCTTATTAATCCAGACATAATAAAATCTAAGTCTCTGGAGTACTTGTTTAATTGAGTTAGTCATCATTAATAATTTGTTTTGTTCTATGTTAATGATCATAATTTTGTATATTTTATGTACAAATGTTTTTTTTTTCGAACTTATTTGAGTCAACATTTTAAGACATCTATCAGAAACAAAGATTTCGCTGAGATTTGTTTATGATTTATTTATTAATGTATTGTGTATCCCCGATATCAATTGCAACACTAGGAATGTGTCATCTTGCCGGTCTGTATTCATTTTTTTTCTTTTAATTTTTGGTCCTGCAATAATTATTATGAGGTTATTTTACTTTGCTGTGTACAAAACTGAATTCTTTTTGAGGGGTGCAAAACTACAGTGGGCAAGGCGCTCGCGCTTTACGCTGCTGTGTATGAGCACATTTGTCTCGGAGCACATTTCTTTTCCTTTGGCTCACATGAGACCTCAAAATATCTCCCGCCCCCCCCCCCCTAAAAAGTGTATGACAAATGTGGTCCAAACAAGTTTTTAAGGGATAAAAAGCACATTTGCCGACAACTCAAAGGTACATTGATGAAAACGCAATAGTGAAAAAACGATGGACCGAACGTGAAACAACGATTGTGCGATGGTTAAACAACGATGGTGTTACGATGGCGAAACAGCGAAGGCACTTTGATGAAAATGTGATGGTATGATGGCGGTTAACAGGAAACTACGATAGTACGATGATAAAACTGCGATGGCATAATGATGAAAACGCGATATTATTTTTACGATCGTGTCCCCGCATCATCGTGATTTCACTTTCAATTATTGAGCAAAAATTAGCAATGACATCTTGTGCCCAAATGCAAGTTTGCCCGTCATGAACAATTTCCATCCTTTGTTAAGTTGCATAACGAAGTTTTGCATCTTTTTAAAAACGAGTACAATGGTGGAACCAAATTTAATGAGTACAATGGCCGAACGATTTAATTGGCTGTCCTATTTTGGCATTTTTTCCCATTGAATTATGCTTATTTCTCGCTTCCTGTCTTTGAAATCATACAAATATAATATTTGAATGTGAAAAGTAGAAAGAAGTATTAAATTAAATGAAATCAGTTTGCTTGCTATACATTCTCATCTTAATAATATTCTGCTTTGATAACACATGTGTACATCGGCTTTAAAATATTTACAATACACAAATAAAATACAAACATGTACATTATATAGAATTTATTTCATCAGCAAATATATGTTTCAATTACGTACATAAAATGTCATACCATTTTGACAATTATTTTGGAAATAAAGGCAGTTATTGTTTTTTTTTTTTGTATTTCAGACGCAG